CGGAGAAAAATATGCATAAAGTATAAAATTATAGTAATAATAGTAATAACAACTAAAATAAAATAGCAAAGTTATTATTAAGCGATAGAAAGGGTCACACCATAAAATTACAGAAAGATGAACAATGGAAGGGTCGATTCACTTTGCTAATTACATAGTAACTTATATGTTTCACGTCTAACAGTGTCTTCATCACATAAAATACGGGCTAAAAACGGTATTGTAGAATTTTTGTACTTAGTGGTTCGAGAATATAACTTCTTATATTGACTTCTTGTCCTACCTGATGAGATACAAGGGAATAGTTGTGAATAAAGGGGGTGCAGAGGGTCTGACAGTACGGCTTTTGCCCACTTTGTACAGGAATTTATGTGTCTCTCGACTATAGTATTGGCGAGCTCACACAGTGGCAAACCACAAGCCCTACTCACAGCATTTAATACCCTTCGTAATATGACATAGTCTTTTTTAAGAAGCCAAGGAAAGATCAATGGAGAGCAATAGAGTACAATAGGTAAAATACAGGAGTTTGAAAATTGCAGAAGTAAAGGTTGGTTGATACCTGATTGTCTTAACTTTTAATGTAGAAGGTGAGGCGAAACATTTTCTTAGAGATTGATTAGACGTGGGATGACGATGAAAGGTCAAAGGAATGAACTAACCCAAGGTATTTAATGCTTGACTTGGTTTCAGTTTCAGGGACATCTATGCTACAGTCATCATGGGAACTAACTAGTTCATGTATGTCACGTCGATGCTTGAAGGTAAAGTTAACTACCTCACATTTGGAAGGATTTAACATAAGAGCATTTGACTTTGACCACTTGCTGATGTCCAACAGAAAGCTATTAAGTTTGGAGCAGTCAGACTCGGAAGTGATAGGCAGTGAGTAATACAGTCAGATCATACGCATATTTGACAAAGTTAGTTTCGTTTAAATGAGGCAGGTCGTGTAAGAAGAAAGAAAAAAGAAAAGGAGAGAGGACGGCACCTTGAGGAACACCGGCTTTTGTAAGAAAAGCAGAAGAAGATTTGCCATTATATGCAGTATACTGCATTCTATCAGAAAAATAAGAATGCTACCAACTCTTAGCCCAGGATCCTGTGTGCATCAACGAAAGCTTATTTAATAAAAGGCCCCTAGGTACAGAGTCAAACGCAGATGTGTAGTCTAGGAAAGCACCACGAACATATTTGCACCTTTGTCTAAACAAGAAACAACATTATGATATAAGACAACCGCAGCATCCAAGGTACTTCTACCATGTTTATATGCAAATTGTTTAGGATCATTAAAAGCTTTCAATGAAGGTTCAAGACGAAGTAAAAGTAATTTTTCCGTCAATTTTAAAAAAGGAGAAGTAATTGCAATAGGCCTAAATTTGTTATCAGTACCAGAAGATTGTTTTGGTATAGGGATAATTTTAATGTTTTTCCATGCAGAAGGTAGAACATTACTGGAAAAGGAAGCATTAAAAATATTAGTAAGAGGGTAACACAAAATATCAGCACAGTTCCTGAGGACAATGGCAGGTACGCCTTCAGGACCAAGGCTTTGGGAAGGCTTAAGAGAACAGAGACATTTAAGCACATCAAGGGTATTAAAACCACTAAAATTATTGTCTATGTGATTTGTATCATTAGGAAGGATATCGACAGAAGAGCGTATGAAAGACTTATTACGATTATCAGCATTAAGTGATTGGACAGAAGTACACCGCTTACCGCTAGTTATTTCTTTAAAAAGTTTCCACAAACTAAAAGGGGTTTTTCATGGCAAAAATCTTTGGTTATACAAAACATTTAGTCTTTGCATTTCGAGTTTTATCAGAGTACTTAACTTTTTTACACCTGACTTATCATTTGTTTTGAACAACAGTTCTTTATCTCTACGTAGATTTTTGAGATATGGAGGAGAGAAACGGTCAAATCGAGTGAAGAATGTTTCTTTAGGACAACATATTTTGAAACAGAATTTAAGATAATCTGTAGTGTTTGTGATTGTGTCATCTGCAATAAGCTGCTGCTCGCTTTCACTAATGTCTGATTCCCCTCGATATGGAAGATCAGGTGACTGGTGAGGAAATAATAAGCAAACTACCCATAAAACTGTTATCTGTAAAATATGCTGTACGAAAGAGGGATGGATTATACATTCTTTTAAGAAACATAGGGCTGACACACTCTGGTGGAACCACAATGAAAACCTATGGAATTCCATCTACGTGTGATATGGAGTATATGATATAAAGATGAGATAAAAGTACGTGAACAGTCTTGCAAACTATTGAATATGATAGCAGCAAACGGAATAGAATGGAGATTTACCTCTGAAGTCATGTGTTCCAGTCAGTAATTAAGAAACCCCTAGTACAAAACTTCTGAAATCGAGCACTTTACTATTAAGCTATTCAAGTGGAGAAAGCCTTATTAACTTATCGTCCAACACAAACGATACAACTGTAACGCCCTGAAAAGAACACTCCCAGCGGCTAAGTTACCACTGGTATTCTCAAGCCCCGCCCCCATCGTTCTTCAACGACTCAAATGGTAAACTATCGTGTTTGACCACTTCTATGTGTATCTGTCAATTTACTTTCTCATGTGGAGTGAGGGAGATATATAGATCGCTCGATGCGTGTTTTTTATCTAAAAGAGTCAGAGGACATTATCCCGCTAGGCTACGAAAAGGTAACAGTGGATCAATAAGGAGTGTATTCAACTTGCATCACTCAATAGGTAAGGAGAATTCATCGAAAGTCATCTACAAAGTCAAAAGAAGCCTCCTTGTAAATGGCGCGCTTCCGTATAATTTGCATTGCCGAGGCCTTAGCGATCCGGGTAGAAAACCCTGATTTATGTAGACGGAAGAAAATTCTTCACATCCTCCTTCTATTTTAGATGCAATTCCAAGTTCTACTACTTCGTTAAGAAGGATTTTTTGAATTTTCGTATGATTTCTTCGTAAAATCTTTTTCAAAACCAACCCTTTATTTACTCTTTCTACCTATTACACAATTCATTTTGGACACGTGTCTCCATGCTGTTTCATTAACATCCTATTTCACTCTACGCAACCCTTCTCAATACTTGCCAGTCTTCACATCACCCCTCTCTCCCATAGTTACAATTTGAGTGTTCATCACATTTTTGAAACAAATCAGAGTCACTTAGATAATGTTTGAAATCTTTAAATCCAACACACAGCCTTGGTCCAGATGGTGTACCAAGCATTCTTCTTCAAAAGTGTGCGGACATCTTGTGTCATCCTCTTACTCAAATCTTTAATGCATCATTTAAAAGGGAAACGGTACCTGCTGACTGGAAAGAAATCAAGGTTGTACCTGTATAGAAATCATCTTCTGGAGCAGGTATAAAGTTTAGACCGGTCGCTATTACATCTCCTTTTTTGAAAACTATGGAGAAACTTCTTTTGAATATTCTTAAACCTTCTTTAAAAGCTTTTAGTGACCCTAAGCAGTTTGCTTATAAGTGTGGAAGAAGTACATTAGATGCAGCCATTGTACTTCAACACAATATTGTTTCCTGCCCTGATAAGGGTGCTAAGTTCGTTTGAACAGCTTTTTAGACTATACTGCAGCTTTCGACTCTGTTCCTAGGACACTTTTATTAGGAAAGATGATTTCAGCACAAACAGAGTCCTGGGCAACTAGATGGCTGTCTTCTCATTTTAAGGATAGGAAACAGCATACTGTTTTGGCTAGAAAGCGCTCCACTTCTCAGCTAACTGAAAGTGGTGTGCCTCAAGGTGCATTACTTTCTCCATTTCTTTTCTCTTTCTTTTTGCGTGACCTTCCGAACTCACCCAAAGTTAACTTCATTAAGTATGCTGATGATCTGACCGTTTCTGTCCCTGTAGTTTCCACATTGGATTGTTCCCATATGAATGGCTTCTTAGCAGAAGTTAAGGATTGGTCTGGCTCAAATGGTCTTAAACTAAATCCAACTAAATGTAATACTGTTGATTTCAGCTTGAGAAGTGAAAAAGACATGCATGGGTTGATCCAATCTCATGATTGTTGCAATATTGATGGTACCATGATAGAGAGTAAGTCAAGTGTTTCTTATCTTGGCATTAGTTTCTCTTCAAACCTTTGCTGGTCGTCTCATATTCTTATAGTTTCTAAGAAGATTTTCTGTCTGACTTATTACATAAAGAAGTTGAGGCACTCAGGTATAAGCCAATCTCTTCTAATACAATTTATTAATTCATGTGTTTTGCCCGTCATTCTTTATTGTTCTCCATTATTCTTCCCTGGGCTACTCAAGAAAGACAATATAATACTACGAAGAACATTGAAGGCTGTAAGTAGGGTCAGTGCTATCCCTTTGACTCAACTAACTGACACTGTTGTCAATAGGCACATGAATTCTTGTAAACACTTAGCTAAAGTTATATTGTCTGATAGTGAACATCCTCTTTATTCACAATTGTTTCCTTGTATCTCTTTGGGTAAGACCAGAAGAAATTTCATAAACATTTATGCTCGTACTACAAAATATAAAAATTCGACTGTACCATATTTGGCACGAGTATTGTGTGAAAAGACGAATATCAGAAAAGAACTTTTACAACTTTAATCATTAATTAAATTATAAAATGTAATGATGCATATTGATGCATGTGTTATTTGTTATATTATTTATTTATTATTCACTATGACCTAGCAATGGTGTGATTTTGTTGGTTTTTTTTATTTTTTCCTATTAACTATCAATATTTTAACATTTTATACATTTATATAATTATAAACAGAGCTGAACCAATGCAATATGTAAAATGAAACGCTGAAAATTCCATGCTGTAAATTGTTATTGTTGTGGAATAAAGTGATTATTATTATTAAAAAATATTATTATTAAATGTCAAAACGTAGTGTAGCAAAGCCTTTTGTTCACGGTTGTGAATCCTTGATCACGCGATGACAAGTTACTAGTCATCTCCCATATTCATTTGTTCCTTTTTCTTCCTTTTTCAGCAGTTCCATGGAACCAATTACATCAGAGATGAAAAATCCCTGGAATTTCAATGAGTTAATCAATATATTCACATCCCTGAATGATACAGACGTTCAGTTGTATTCACTAAAAGATTATTCAAAAGTACGCGAAATATCTGAACAATTTTACCTAATTCTATTTTTTATATCAATCGGATATACAATTATAATTGCATTTCTTACATGTAAACATAAAAAACCTACAGATCATCATCATCATAATCATACTACTGTACAACCTGTTACTAGTAGTAAATATCACAATAAACAAAAAAGTTATTTTGTTAGATTTGCAACTCCCTGTCTAAACTATTTATCTAATTATCCTGGATTACCGAATCCACTGGATTTCGTCGTCTACAAGCGTATCCCCTACATTTATACTTCAGCTTATATGTGTGCATTTGTTCTGATCAGTGGAATTTTCACAGACAATTATCATATCAGACAAGTCTACTTGAATGCTCCACTATGGATGATTGTCATCTACAAAATCTTTGTGATATGCTTTCTTTCAATCACACTACTCCCGGTGTTTTTAAGTATCACCTACGGTGGTCTATTCGCTTGGATATCTGGACTAGTCTATTGCCTATTGAATTTAGCCTTCCTACTGATGTCTGTTGTTAAAATCCTTACGAATGATAGTTATCAAACACTATCTCGTGTCTCAATGTTATTACCAACACTACTGGCTTACCTGATTCTGTGTAATTATTTTCTCTATCAAATTATTTACAATTTTAAACATTTACGCAGACATGTGTTTAAATCATTCCCGCCAAATTCAAACTCTTATGTACAATTTGTTATGACATATGTACAGAATAAATTTAGTACAAAGCCTAAACGACACTGTATATATCAGTGTAAAGATCAGGTCAATCATCTCGGCAGGATAGATTCGAATTTCTCGTGTAACTCTACACAACCAACAATCCCTGATAATACTAATAACTTTCATGTTGTTCGTAGTAGTAGTACAAAGCTCATTGATCATTTAACTGTTGAATTATTGAAACTGCCGCGTTGTTTGTACAATTTCTGTTATCCAACTGGTTTAATATGGAGTATGGGTGTTAGTATTATGCTCCATTATTTTCTCACTATCCAGTCAATATCCTATATGATGAATTTAAGAGTACTTGGCAAGAAGTATATTGAAACATTGTACCCGTCGATGAGAATGTCATTAAAACAGAATTTGTGCTTTTCAAATGTTAAATTTATATTTAGTTTATTCAATTATAGTACCAATGTCACATCATCATCACCATCATCAGCGTCACATTCGCCGTCTTCACCAGCATCCAGAAGTCCAGTGAATCGTAGCCACCTGGAGTATGCCTTCATTTATTATTGTATCGATTTAGTATGGATAATCTTTTTGATGAGTATCGCCATGGCTTTTATTGTTAACATGTATAATATTTGTAAGATTCTCTTGCATTATCACGATTTATCTCTGTCAATTTATGCTAAAGGCTTTTCATGTCTACCTGAGATTGAAAAGTGTATGAATCCCGTACAGATCACCTATGGATGCATAGTATTTCCAAGTTATCAGGTTGCTGCACTAGTCTGTGGCTTTTATCTACAAATAATCATCTACTTCCTGGTCATATTATCCATATTCTCGCTGATTTTATTCAATCTCTTCACACCATACACCTTCTTGATTGAAATATTATCGCATTGGTGGCCGGAGATAATTATTATCTGTGCATCTGCAATTATTCAAAGACTAGTTATCCAATATGTGTATACACAGAGTAATGGTCAAGCGGTTGGCTTTAGAAATCTACGCTCCTTGCATCAATTTATGTACATATCTAGTTTTTATAATATATTCTATGGGATAATTAGTAGCCTGTGTCGAATCCTACTGTATCCGTTGAGTAGTGCAGTGAATTTAGCTCGACTAGATGTCGCCTCACTGACAACAACAACACCCCAATGTGCAGATACCGGGTATATGGCATTTCTTGGATTCCTGTATGCTGATGTTATGCACTTTAATCCATGCCTACGTGTATTTATTTGGATAGTAATGGATGCATGTTTAAGGCATAGACGTTTCACACTACAATCCAGTCGGCAATACGATACAGCTTTATTAATGGAACTTGAAAGTTTTCGTAAGTATTTGAAATTGAATCAACTGTCCTATTCTTCACCGCATAGTTATTCAACAAGTTGGCAAACGATAGCCTACACTTCAAGTGGTAATCGAAGGCTTTTATACAAGCAAAGAGGTGTATCTGTACCTGTGGATAGTAAGTTGAATGTGTATTATTGCTGCTGTTTACATGAGATGAGTGAATTGAAGGCATGCAGTGTGATGGATGCGCACAGAAGAAGAAGAAGAACACTAATGCGTAATCGTTGGTTTCTATATTATACACTTGTACGTAATCCTCAACTTTGTTTACACAGAAGAATGGATCCAACTTGATGTTAGCTGATTACTGTGTCTATCTGTGTACTTTCCAGCGGATTTTGCGTTTATATCGTACTCCTGAAATATTTCACGTCATCTGTGACTGTCTCCTTGTTTCTAGACAAACAAACAAAAAAGATTCAACGAAGACAACTTTGACTTGAAAATGAACTGCATACCAATGATTCTATACTGGCAAAATCCAGTTTATTAGTAGGCAGCTACTGAAGAGTAAATTTGTCTTTTTCGAAAAAAAAAACATTTGTGTTCTCATTCTGTGAATGAGTGAATTTAACTCATTTCTTATTTTGTTGTACTTGCCTAAATAAAATATTTATGTATTGTATTTTGATGTTTAATAAAATTTCTTCAGAACAATTTGTTTTCAAGTGAAGTTTGCAGTTAACTTGACGGCAGAATTTGGGAACTGTTGGTAGTAGTAGATGGTTGGAGGTAATCCGAAGGATGCCTCACCTGACCTGGTTTCGTGATAGTTGACGCTCACCAGTCAGCAAGGCATATCTGTAATCTTGAAGGAACTCATTTCCCTTCTGAGAGTCAAGCCCATGTCACCCAGTACTACATTTAGAGGCGTTACCACTGAGCTGTTCGGGCTGGTGACTCAGTTCCTGTAGGCCTGTGTTGGATATTTTTGATTGGACACTGGTCAGTAACCAGTGTGATATATCTAGTCCTTTGTTTGTTGCAGACTGAATTATCAAAACACTTAGCTCTGATATTATGCCCCATTAGAAATCTCTCAAACTCTAGACTAGCTAATTCATTTGAGATGAAAAATAAACTAAATGACATTCATTCTCACTCAGTGCTCAACTATTTTGCAACTATCCGGTCAAATCTTGATCACAGTTCATATAAATGACATTCGACTAGAGAATGATGAAACAATGGTTAGTTTTGATATAACCAGTCTTTATACTAACATACCAATAAATATGGCCTTAGAAGCAGTTAAAAAAGAACTAACTGCGGATACTGAACTCAATCATAGGACAAAGCTGTCCATTGAGGAAATTATTTTAGGGATTCAGCTATGCCTCACATCTACTATATTTAAATTCCAAGGCAAAATATATAGACAAACTGAAGGTGTAGCAATGGGATCACCAATATCCCCTATCGTAGAAGATATATTTATGGGTAGCTGGGAAAATATGGCTCTTAATACGTTTAATCCTACTCTAAAAATATGGTGGAGATATGTGGATGACACTTTCACAATGTTAAAAACAGAACATATTTCTAGCTTCTTGACGCATATAAGCTCACTAGTGGAGGGAATAGAATTTACATTTGAATCAGAAAATGAACAAGGAGCATTAGCTATATTAGACTGCAAAACAAAACGAACAGAAGGTAGACTGCACACTAGCGTTTGTAAAAAGCCAACACATTCTAATAGATATTTAGACTTTAATTCATCTCACCATTTAACTGTTAAGGCAAGCTTAGTTAAGTGTTTAACAAACCGAGCAATGGCACTAAGTAGCACAAAAAAAGACCTAAATGATGAAATAAAACAGACAGAAGAGGCGTTGCTTTTAAATAACTATCCTTTAAAATTCATTAGGAAGATTGAAAAACACCGAAAGAAAAATAAAAAGAATTGTGAAACTAGTAATAACAACATAAATAAGAGAGAATATAAGTCATCTACAGTTATACCATATAAAGAGGGGACATCTGAGACCCAAGGTAGGATTCTAAATAAAGCAGGAATTAGGGTGGCATTTAAACCTACAAACTCACTCAGGGACAAGCTCTGTAGACTAAAAGCCCCGGTGGACCCAATTAGACAAAATAATATAATTTACAAAATACCCTGCAATGATGGTGAGGTCAACTACATAGGTCAAACTAGTAGGTCAGGGGTAGTCAAATTGTCAGAACGTAAGAATTTAGTTAAGGTTAGAATGCCTGATCCCACGAAGATAAGTAGTTCAATGAAATACTCAGCAATAGCTCTGCATGCATTAACACACAACCACACAATAGGGTGGGAGAGGGTAAAAATTCTGAAAAGTAATCTAGGTAGGTGGAGAGAGAGGTTGATTACTGAATCCTTGTTCATCGAATCTACACCCAACACATGCAATAGGAATGATTCATCACTCATACCCGAAATATGGAAAATATTACTACCAATCAAATCAAGTGAAAATCAAGTGAAAAACAACGGAACTATGTAAATTAATTTAGGAAGTCGTGTGATTACCTTGATATGATTATGAGCAATAAATTGTGCTCGAAACGTCATCAGTAAACATTACTGTATAACACTGTGAGACTTTATCAAAACAAAATTTACCGATAATGGAATTATACTCTTCCACAGTGCACAAGTTTTATTCTTATATCAACGAATTCTATCAGTCAGGTTTGCAGTGTGATTGTACTATTATTATTATTTTACGAGTTGATCACGGACTGATATCAGTTAGAGAACCATTGAAAACCAGGGAGTACTGGACAGCTGCTGTTTCATCCTAGTTTGGGAATCATCGGCAGTACGCACCCACTGGGATTCGAACCCCGGTTACAAGGCAAGCTCGTATACCATTCAGCCACTGGGACCCGATTCAATGGCTCATGAATTCTAACTTATACCAATTCGTGATTTTAGCGCGACCCCAACTATTGTCTTTGGTGGGAAATCCATCCACACACGTGACTTCTAATTGGACCTCACTGGTCACGACTTCTCACTAGAACTCCAGGAAGCTCCAGCCTGTAGCAAGTCACTAGCGAGCATCAGTTTTCAATGGTTCTCTAACTGATATCAGTCCGTGATCAACTCGTAAAACATAACTAATCCTTACAAACCAAAACTATAGAAAATTATTATTATTCGCATAGGTTTTGAGTGGAGTATTGGGCTCATACAGAACATCCTGTTCTGTGTAGTCTTGATTAGCTGGCCTAACGGTTGTTCATTAGCTCATATCTCCAACTCACTGGCTTTTCTCCACGTCACTCACCAACTCACTCCCAGTTAGTCAGTTCCAATTTGGGTTACACTCGACGGTCTGGAGTGAGATGTCATTCAACGACCTTTTCAGAGTATTTCCTATTTATGTCTTTGGGATATGTGTGGGCAATAGGTGCTTGGTTGCTTCGCTGGTTACTAGAGTTCCTTATTTTATTATCTTTTCTGGTCGGACCATCTGTTCTTCAGTATGGAATGAAAATAGGCAGCTGCTGATGAAAGTGTGAAGTAGCCTTTTGGAAATGCTTTTCGTGGCCTGACAAGTCTCTGGAGCATATGGAAGAACTGACTTGACGTCAATTAGTGTTGAAAATATCCGGATGATGCTCTTCATGCTGAGCACAGTAGGTTGCCACACTGATTTCAAAGTAAAGAAGACCTGTCTAACCTTTTCGATTCTGGTTTGAATATCCGCCTGTAATTGAAACGATGTTGTCTAGATAAGTGGTAGGAGTTTAAGTTAAGTTTATTTGATACTTAACATAGAGTGATATAGAACTGATAATTGGATGAAGTTTCCGGAAGATTTTATTGCTACTCATAATCATATCAATATATTCAAACGGTTAAGTAATTTACTTTAAATGAACCTTTCCTCTCCTCCTCTTGTCATTCTCTGCAATTCTGCATATATCCGGTATAGGCATTACATCATTCCCAATGCAGATGTTTGGTTTTGATGCGGTGACTGATGCCTCTCTTCATTTAAGGACAGTCCTCTATAATGCTTTCAACCTATCTTACACTCTGTTGTGCGAATGCTGAAACCTAATTCTCCCGATTTACTAGAATGACCTAAGCAATTGACCACACAACCATTACACAGCATTCAGTATTTCATATTATTTTTCCTAATCAGATCTTTTGAGTCCTCAGGCTAAGAAAATTTGTTTTTGATTGATTGAGTTAATTGGTGTAAATGTCACCCTGATTTCAGCGTTAATGGGAATCTTGAATAGGACTTATGAAGCTCCTTCTTTGTATGGTAGTAATCTTGAGGCTTTAAATTCCTGTGGAGTCAATTAGCTGCAAAGGCGGTATAATTACGCGTGTTTCTCGTCGAATTTCCGAATATCAGTCTGCAAAGTGGTTAAGTAAAGGACAAACAAAATCCATTCGAAGCGCTATTCTATCCCGTCTTGTGAATACAGTACATAAGATTGATGTCAACGAGGCTTTCAAAGTCATCTACTGCATACCAACACATCTTAACTTCTCCTTAAGACTTCGTTTACTAAATATTACCGAGGCCGTTGGGATTAACATCAAGAAACCTAATTTATGTATCCAAAAGAAGCTATTTCAGACATTGTCCTTACCTTGGCCATCTAGGTTCCGATGATTCTCAGCTTTTGTAGTAATTTCCTTAATTTTAGTTGATATTCCATTTCCTATTACGTTATTATAATTTAAGCATCTTTAATGGACTACAATTCCACTGGTCTTACTTTACGAATCGATATTATTTAAAAAACACCAGTATTGTTATTGACTACTATTCTAGAATATTCTGTGTATATAAACATGCACATATAATTGTATAGCCAGAAGAGGAAATTATTGAACAGGATATTCTTTGCTCAGTTATTTTGTTTTTTCATAGATGTCTGAATGAATATTTTCGCTACATTCTTATTTTCCCTATGGGTTTTCATATATTTTTGAATGAAATCTACTGGGATAGTTATTCACTATGACTGTTTTCTTTATTTAAATCTTCTGACTTAGTAGTTAAACTTCTGCCTTGATTACGTAAACATTTAACTAAACCTACGTTTCGTGATTTTGGGTGCGACGAATCAAAGTTGTAGTATGCAACTACTTTGAAATAACCAGTAGTATTGTGGTGGAAGACTGACTGATTTATTGGCCTAAGCACATAATTTCCAGCCATTGGGTCTCCATCTATTTCAATCTCGACAGTTGCATAGTATCATCAGCTTACACATAATGAGTGTCACTCATAGTCTTTAGGTTGAAAGATCTGTTCCGACAGCTGAGTCCCAGT